TCTCCAAACTGCCCGTCAAGTGGATCGCTCTGGAGAGTCTGGCTGACAACGTGTACACCACGCAGAGCGATGTGGTACGCACGCACACACCTGGGACACACAGACGTCTGTGACGTAGCTGTCCCAGATTACAGATCCTGATTCAGAGCAGAGGACATTTCAGGCTCTTTTCTTTTTTAGTTTCTGCTGATAGTCACGTTCAGACAACCTGAAAACGATGCCTGGCGGCAGCTCGACACTGTGATTCATAAAAATCCATCCTGACAGATCCATGAGCTGACATGTCTCAGCACTTATTGTAAGTTTGCTGATCAAGCAGAAAGCGAGTGCTGATGCGAGCACGCAGGGACGCTTTGTTCTCTGCAAATGGTAAAATGGTAAATGGCCTGCATTTGTATAGCGCTTTTCTAGTCCCTAAGGACCCCAAAGCGCTTCACACTACATTCAGTCATCCACCCATTCACACACACATTCACACACTGGCGATGGCAAGCTACATTGTAGCCACAGCTGCCCTGGGGCGCACTGACAGAGGCGAGGCTGCCGGACACTGGCGCCACCGGGCCCTCTGACCACCACCAGTAGGCAAACACGGGTTAGTATCTTGCCCAAGGATATTTGGCATGCAGCCAGGAGGCAGCCTGGGATCGAACCACCGACCTTCAGATTAGTGGCTGACCTGCTCTGCCACCTGAGCTACAGCCACCCCACTGTAAAGACGATATGACCTGAGAGGAGGCGCCGCTGAGTTTGTGCCATCAGTGAACCTGCAGCAGCTTAACGCTGAGACGGGTTTAAACTAGAGATGGACCGATCCGATACGTTATCGTATCGGTCCGATACTGACGTAAATTACTGGATCGGATATCGGAGAGAAATAAAAAATGTAATCCGATCCTATATCAAAAACCTCACAATTCAACACGAATACAGCACACAGTGCTCACATAGAGAGCGTGTGTCAAAACATTCGCCCAGAACGTTTCCCAGAGCAGGTAAGCAAGTGTAGCATCACGTGAAATGTTTGTAAAGCATTCCCGTTAAGCTTAACAACCGATATATGGAGCGACTGCCTCTCCTCTCCTGTGCTACTTCAATCGTGAAACTGATCAATGATCAGCTGATCGGCTTTTCTGTCGCGAGCCGTCTCTCTTGTTTGTTTTTGGCCCACTTTGCACCAGAAAGAGGAAACCAGCGGCTGAACAACAGCAGCACGTTTAAGCTTGATCAGCTGTTGTTAGAATTTATTTATTATTACTTTCTACATCCAGGATCTTTTTCTATGTAGCTGACGCTGGTAACTGTGCAGGGGCGGATCTAGCAAAGTTTAGCCAGGGGGGCCGATAGGGCATTGAACAGGGAAAAGGGGGCACAAAGACATACTTTTCTTTCTTATTCTCATTAATGTCTACTTTTAATAATAATTATCTGAATCTTACTACCAAAGTTTTAATCTGATGTAAAATGTATAATCATATGTATATAGTAACTGATTAAGTCTAATATACCCTAGTAAGCTATAGTACTTTATCTCTTTCGAGTACCATCGTAGCTGATTTGAGAAAGATGTTGAATCTATTTAATTATTCTTGAAAAATAATTGATTTCTGTGCATTTTTTTCACACTGCATCAAATTAAAGTTGATTACGTCGATTAAGCATCATGAGGTGGAGGGTGGGGGGTGGTTCCCTATTTTTTTTGCTGGGAGTTTGCAACCCTATTAGTTAGGTTGCTTAATATTTCTGCTAAGTACTCTTTAAAATACCAGAATAGGGAGGATGGAGCAGGTTTAAGTTTATTAGATTGATCAGTATTGCTGAACTATGAAATATTTTGGGTGCTGTGTGTTTTTTACACATCGGTATAACAGAATAGTTTTAGTGTTGTTGTTTATTTAAACCTGAGTATGAACTTATACAAAATGCAGCAAGATATTAAAAAAACAGTTTGATTAAAAAACACTATATCGGATTTATATCAGTATCGGACATAAAAAAGTGGTATCATGCCATCTCTAGTTTAAACACACCTGTGCAGGTGGTTTCTGCTGTCACCTCATCACAGCTGTAGTGCTCGTTACTGCCATCTGCTGATGAGGAGTGAAGCTGTGACATAAACACTACCTTACGTCAGCAGACCAGCTCTTTGTCACATGATTAGATTGTCATGGAAACAAACTAAAGGAACATGTTAGGAGTAAAATAATGACTTTAAAAGTTTCAGGTGTGTGCACTCAGCGAATGATGACCTTCTGTGTGTGTGTCAGTGGGCATTTGGCGTGACGATGTGGGAGATCATGACTCGCGGTCAGACTCCGTATCCTGGCGTGGAAAATTCGGAGATCTACGAGTTCCTGATCAAAGGAGAACGTCTGAAGAAGCCGGCCGACTGCAGAGACGACATGTGAGTGTATACACAACGACACAAACGACATACTGAAGAAACAACAACACAGAGAACGAAACCCCTTTCAAAATAAAGCTGATCACGTCAGCTGTGTGCACTCTTTAACCTCTTTCTTCTTCTGTGGTTGTCAGATATGAGATCATGCACAGCTGCTGGAGTCCTGTCCCTAAATGTCGGCCCAGCTTCCAGCAGCTGGTCGGCCAGCTGGAGGCGCTGTGGGTCAGCCTGTTGCCTGCCTCCCCTCAGAAGGAGCCGTTATTCTACGTCAACCTGGAGGGCGACAATGGCGAGCATGGGGGAGGAGCCCAGGCCCCAGGGCCTGAGGAGGCGGCGGCGGCTTCAAACTGGGGCGTCCCATGGCAGCGGCAGGTGGAGCACGAGGACAAAGACTGGCTGATTGGGTCTGGGGCGGCGTTTGCCATCGGTGGCGACTACAGGTACATCACCGGCCCCTGTGGAGTCTCCGAGGAGGAGGCGGGGGGAAGGTGGCCCACAGACACGTTACAGGAGGAGGCGAGGGACGAAGATGACGACGACGACGTCGTCATCAACGTGTGACACAGACTGGCCAATCTCAGCGCTCCTCCGTCAGCTGATCAGACTCACTCTAAGGCACGGAGCAGCGGGCGGGTGGAGACGCACTGAGGGACAATCACGACCACTCCTCCCACTACGTTTCAGAACAAAGAGTCAAAGGATCCATTAAGGAGTCGATCAGCAGGTGAATCGGTAACGGAGGGAGATGCTGTTAGTCACCGAGAGGAAACAGAAGGGGGCGCCGAAACGCCTCACATTCATTTCATTAATACACGTTTTATTTTCAGGTCAGTAAATCAATAATTCACGTTTTATTGATCGATCAGCAGCCGCTTCTTTGTTCGATGATTAATCACTTGCTGTTAATTAATCGATTAATCAGCCTGGATATTTTCTTTGCAGCTTGTGTTTTAGAGGACATTACCATTTAGGTCTGGAGCTGTGCTTTTATTTTGAAAGACTGGGGGTTTCCTGAATACACCTGTGACCCTTACCTGGGCCGGGAACCTCCAGTTGGACAACCCTGCACTGAACCTGTATTAATAGGGAAACATTTCAGGTTTGACCTTCCTGCTGAAGCTCCTCTCACAAAGCATTTTTCTGAAGCGCTTTGATTTTAGTTTATGATGTGTTGAGAAATTATGGGATGTGTGAAAGCTGCTGGACGTGTCCTGTGAGGCCTCTGTGGCCTACATGTGCCTTGTGTCTTCTTCACGGTGTGTCCCACCCTCTGTCAGTGTCTCTCTGCTGCCCCCGGTGGTGGCTGTTGCTGTAACAGTGAAGCTGTGTTTTGTTATTACTGAATTAACTTGAAGTTTTAATGGTGACAGACTTAACTGATTTATTGATTTATTGATCCTGGTTTGCGTTCGTGTCTGCAGTGTCTTGTGTTGCTATGACGACACTCTTACCTCTGTGTGTGATGTCTCACTGACTTCAGGTCTGTAAGAAAGTGATAATTAAATAAAGTGTTTCCTGTTTTCTGCGCTTTGTCTTCTGATCTGAGGTCAGATTGAAAACAGCCGTGACCAGTAAAAATCAGCGTCCAGCTCTGTGAAATCATTTCAGTTTCATCGTTTACTGCCCGTTTTCAAATTCAAAAATAATCAGACAAATATTTATCGACAGGTTTGCAGCTCTTCAAATAAAATGGATCAAAATAAAATCTTTACTAAGGAATAAATGTACTAAAATACGGGGTAAAGATCAAGTCAGGTATTTAAAATGTAAAACGAAAAAATGAGGTAAAAGAGACAGGAAGTGATGTCACACCACAGGGCGGGTTTGTTTCTTCCACATGATTCTTCGTACTTTATTTACCGCATGCCCATCAATAACAGCTGACAGTCATTTCACACCTCTAAACAGACTCGTATTCAGCCGTAACACCTCGAGCTGTGTCAGTGAGCCGGTGATGTCTTAACCTGAGTCTGTGGTCTCTGCTAGGGCTGTGCGATATGACCAAAATCTCATATCCCGATATAAGAATTCTATCGTCCGATAACGATATAAATCACAAAAAATAAATTCAGCTCGACTTGCATGAAGTGTTTTCAGCTGGGCGTCGTGTACCTGGAGTCGGGCGTTTTAACAGATGCATGAAATGATACATTTTTAGACATAAGTTGTAACGACCGCCGTTTTCTTTGCATTTATTACACGGCGTGCTGCGGGGAAAAGCCTGTTCTAACGTTTGAGTCTTCCGTTTATTTTTTAGCACCTGGCGTCTTTTTTTTTACTTCTCATCCGTAAATAATCTGCTCTTTCACGTGATTCAGTTTATTTTGAAAAGTCTCAACAGGATCTTGAGCTTTATTGTGAAAGGTTTATGTGGAACATAAACAAGCGGACACGCGGTGGTTTTACCGTTGTTGTTGCTAACGACAACGCATAAAAACAGCCATAAAAAACGCATAAAAACAGTCCGTCCGTAGTGTGGTTATATTAAATATAAGAGAAAGAGAGAACTTTAAGAAATGCATATAGCCACTACAGTGACCACCAAAACGATGAAAAAATATTGCCGTAAACTGTTTATTTTGCAACACCACGAAACAAACGATAGCGTAAAATGAAACGATAGACGTTCTTATATCGTCATCCGATATATATCGTTACATCGAACAGCCCTAGTCTCTGCCCCTCCCTGACTGCGGCTCTGCTGGCCAAAATCAGACTGTACATAAAGGATGGATGTAAAGGTAACACCTGCGTCCTGTTTAATCCGGGGCTGACTCTGAAGTCTGATTGGACAGAAGCCAGCTGATCTGTGAGCTCGCTGAAGTTTTTCCAGACGCGTTTTAGGACAGGAAGCGGTTAAGATGGTAACCGCTGACCTCACAGTTCAGCTCCATCGTTCATTTACAGTCTGTGGTCTGAAGGACTGAGACTAGGTCCCTGGCGTTTATTCACTCCAGCAGGGGGCGCTCTGCTGCAGCGCCTGACATTTCCTCTGCAGACATGTCATGTGAAAGGAAGCTGAAGGGCGTAGAGGCGACGGCTCAGGTTATTGATTATGATGTGACGGTAATCTGACGTGTGACACGGTAGAGGATGCCTCGTCATACATGTTCAGTGTTAGTGATGTAAGACTACTGTTGTCAGGTTTTAGGCTTACAAATATTTAAAATAACCTCATATTGGACAGATTTGTGATGTCATTCAGCAGGTGTGTGTATGTGAGTGTGTCGCTGTGATTGTGAACACTAAACCTGCAGGGCAGCCTCGCCGTGTGGCGCCGCTCTGCTTCCTGATAACTGTGATGTAACGGCTCTGAACATGAGTTATGATATCATCAGGGTGGAGCTGCTTCCTATTAGCTGATTGGAGGACCGTGTTGCTTTTGTTTAACATGACATTTAGAGAACACCACACTGCTCCACCTGCGCCTGGTCTCCAGGCGGCGCTCTGATGGAAGCAGAACGTTCCTGCAGGTCGGTGGGAAACGAACCGTGTGAATAAACGGGAAAACACATGAAGACCGTCACACTGAGCTTCAGCATCAAGTGCGGCACTTAGGCCCCGCCCATTGGTTAAGACAGCGATCCCAAGTCTCTGAGACGGGTCGTGGTTCTGTGCTGTGATTGGACGTTTCACTGCTGGTTTGTTCATTGTTTACGTCGGTTGTGGTGCAAACAAGAGCGGCTTAACTCTATGGCCAAAGCTATACTATGTTCTGATTTTGGATTTGGATTTAATGTATATAAAGGCTAATTCTACTCGACTTATACATTATCCTGTTTTGAATGTAGAATTTTGTTTTTTGTTGTAAAATCTAATATTCATGCAACAAAGTAGAGCGCTAACTTAGCAGCTAGTGTGAATTTGCTTAGGTAGCAGGTTGTATAAACAGACACTATGGGTTTAGCACAGGTATAAATATCTGCTAATCAGAGTTAACATGAACTGAAATATTAAGATAATTTAATGGGTTAACTTAAAGGGTGAATTTATACCTAAATCACTTCGACCTGTTGATCATACTACAGTGCGCAAACATGCTTATATCTGCCCTAAATCTGTGCATTTTAGTCCTTTAGTCTATAGAGCTGGCCATCTTCTGGAGCCAGTCTTAAGTGGCAATGCATTTCTTTTCAGCTCCAGAAGTTGCTCTCTGTTTCTCTGTCTATACTAACGACTGAGACTATGCTAACTGGGATAATAAGGATGGTGGCTAGGGTTATAAGGAAGGCCAAAGCAGTCCCTAGTGCTATGTCTTAAGTGTAACATTGCTATGTCTTGTCTTTATAGTGCCAGAGTTGGGAGGAATACCTTAACTCTAATTCACAACAGCAAAACTATGTTGGTTTACTACACAAAAGAGAAAAAAAAAAAAAGCGGCTTAACTCTGAAGGAGCAGCTGAGCGTGCCAACAGACCTGAAGACACAACGACACAAACCATAAACTGACCAATCAGGTCGCTGTGATGACAGCTGTGACATCACAGCAAGAGATGAACCTTCATGGTTTCTTAAATATGAGGATCTGGTGTACTGATGACATCACAGCGCTGCGATTAGTCAGTTTGGTTAACATCGGAAACTCCACGATGCTCAGCTGATTACAGCGTTAATCCCAGTTCGCTGTGGTTCTTCAGACTTCACACAGAAACAGACGGTGTGGAGGAGGCCGCACAGGAGGTGGTGCCACAGGAGGTGGTGCCACAGGAGGCGGCGCCACAGGACAGGAGGAGGCCGCACAGACCTGTGGAGAGGATCAGGATGGAGGTTTTGGGAGGTGTTCAGCGCTGGGACATAAGCTGGATATTTCACACTTTCATAGACACGCTTGTTCTCAGACTGACCCTCTGCATGTTTCCACGTGGACCTGATCACCTGTCAATGACTGTTATTGATCACTGCTGCAGAAGCTGAAGCCTCACCTGCCACCAGGGACGTTTGAGCTGCAGGTGAAGTTTGGCTAAACTAGAAGATCAAAAATACTAAAATACCTGCTCAAGGCAATACAACCCTACCTGTGCAGAAATGTTGGTCAAAGAAGAAAGAATAACGCAGCAAAAAAGTAGCAGATAGCTGTGCGCACCATCGACGAGGTTAAATCTCAGTTTTCCTCAGGTAAACGCAGAGTTTCTTCTTCTTTAAAACGCCAACGCCCAGAGTGGCTTGTCGTGGGGAGCGTCAGGGAGCAGACTCTGGAGAAACCTCACTGCTGTTCCCGTGCAGACTTCAGCGCTGTCCTGACCTCACGGTTTCCTCCAACCAGGCTGAGAGATGTTTAAACGAGGTGTCAGGTGTTTACCGGCCAATGTTTGAACTCCAGGTAGAAAGTGTGAGCTGAGTTTACCTGACAGGCGCATTTCCCCAGGACAAACACTAACATTGTGGAGGTTCTGGTTCCAGCTACCTGTCACACTCCATGGTGATTGTTTATCCAGGTGTTTTACAGTCTGTCTTCGCGGCTGTGGTTTCCAGATATTTTGTGCTCAAAGGTCTCCAGAGTTTCAGAGCACACCTGTACTCGTACCTGCGCCATCACACGGAGATGCTGCAGAAACCTGAGAATAAAATTATATACATACACACACACACACGAGTGTTTTTCTTTTTACCTGTTCTTAACGCGCCCACACAGACCGTGAGATTTCACAGGACGCAAAATTTTGATGAAGCTCAACATTTGGATTTTTTTGGCTGTGAATAAACAGATCTGACCAATCAGATCGCTGCACTTGTACTCGTATCCCAAAGCGCGCACTGTCACTGAACACACATGCGACTCGGCAACACTAAAATAATCCTCACTCACCGCTCGCTGCTGCTCCAGACTGAAATGATCCCTCCTGGGATCAAACCAGGAAACCTGCTGCTGAACGCGTGAATCCAAAAATTCTGAATTTCCTGTTATCTTCATCAGGCTCCGCATGTGAAGCCTTCTGCATCTACACCTTATAAAAACCTCCACCCTTTACAGTTAACCACAGCCCGCTGAGCCCTTCACTATGTCCATGAAGCTTCACCCTCCTCCTCCTCCAGGCTGCAAGTCCGACCGTGCAGAGCTCTCACACACACCTGATCACCACGCCTGTACTTTCATTCTTCATAACAACGTTATGTTAAACTGCAGAAGCCCGGGGGCAGGTATGCAGGTGACACTGAGGTCAGAGGCACACACTTGTGCTTAAAACAGAGACACAAAGTAATCAGAGGACTCCTATTAAACACTGGACACACTGTTACCTGCACTACATGTTTTATTGTAATAGATTACTTATTCACGAGCTGTGTCACGTGACTTACCTGTGAGTGTTATAAATGAGTGCATTTATAACGTGCCGGGTGGGCGGCAGCCACACCTGGCTAACTTAGTGTTAGCCGGGAGCTAACGGGGCACCTGGTGAACCCCGTACGCACAAAATAAAGCGCGCACACAGACACAGGAACGCGCAGTATCAGTGCGGGCTGAATGATCCAGCTGTGGTCACGTGAGTAGTGTGGCGGCAGCTGTGGTTCCCGTGCTGTGGCTCGGTTCCGCTTCGGAGTGTGACTAAACAGAGTCAGCTCGCCCCAAGCCCGCGGCCCGAGTCCGGGTCGAACCGACGGCACGGAGCCCCGGGAGGCGGCGGGCTGGCCGCCTGGGATCAAGCCGCGCCGCGGGGTCTCACCGGAGTCATCTTTGTGTTCTCGGAAGGCACGTTCGAGTCCCGCGGTCGCTCACGGGTCTCCGACGGCCGCTGCTCACGGGGATTCCTGCCGTCACAGCCAGGTTGCGGCCCCAAGATGGCGGCGGAGGCTGCGCAGTACTGGCGGAGGTGACGTGACTGCGGAGGACGCCGCGTGCGCTGTTGTTTGCCTCCCACCATTAAAGACCCTCCGCGGCCAGGCCGACCACCGAACCCGAACAACGGATCCACGGAGCCCCTCGGAAGCGCCGGGCGCGCGGGGGCGGACACAAGGTAACGATTGCGTCGGTACCGGAGCGCGTGGCCGAGCTTCGGGGTGACGGCAGCCACGGTGAGCTCGGTGAGGCCTGCGGCTAGCTGCTCTCTGAGGGAGGCACGGAGCACAACGAGCCCAGCGGAACCGAGACCGAACCTCCGCGTCCGCGCGCTGCTTCACCGGAACCTCGGGTGTCTGTGAGCACGTGCAGTTTAAAGGGCAGGTTAGCACGCGGCTCCTGCGGATGTGTTTATATCCAGGAGGCCAGGTGAGGGCAGATGGGTCATGGTTAGGGGCGGAACAGGGCCGAGGGCCTCAGTTTGTAGTTTTTAGTGTGGGGTTAGGGCGGGAAAGTAGCACAGAGCTAGCAGGCTGCACAGTGTCTGCGCCCTGAATGTTTCTGAGATGCTCTGACCTCAGCTCTGCCACGTTCACGGGTGAGTTAAACTAAAGTCAGCAGCTCCAGCGCCCAGAGACCTCCTCAGTGTCCCTCAGACCTCCTGCTGCTACCCAGGGCTTGATGTGGCTGTGTTTTAGAGCTTCCTGTAAGAGTCTGCGTTACTTGTTAAAAACTGACTACTTGGACTTCATTGTAACACCTGCAGAAAGCACACCCTAGTATGCAATCCTGTCAAGACTTCTGTTTTCTTCAGGTGGCATAATAGCTGCAATGCTAACATGTTAGCAGATAGCAGCTAACCTGCCCAGTTAGCGTGAACACTACAGTGCTAAAGTATATGAGACTTAAGATGGCACAGTTACCTGTTACGAAGCCTGCAGTCTGACATTTTTGACCACACATGACTGCGAGTGCTAGCACTGGCTAGCTCACCAGAATTCGTTATTCACTCATTATGACTGTTATACATCTTATGTGGTTAGCACAATGAAATTCAATTTAGTAGGTCGTCAGCAGGTTACACCTGTGTCAGGTAAACATCCTGCAACATGACATCACACACCCTGTGACCATACCTGACTGTATTTGGATGTGACGTGGCGGTAGGCATTATCAGCTAGCACTTTCAGGCTAATGTGATTGCAATCAGGATGTCAGTTTCAGCAATGATAACACAAAATGTTTCAGTAAATGTCCGTCCAGAGTAGAGCAGGGTGATATGACCAAAAATAGTTATCACGATATACATTTGAAAATTTGCGATAACGATATAACTGACGATATAATTGACACGAGACAAAATGCTTTACAATTCCACAATTTTATTAGTACAAAAACCCCATCAATGTATTTTCACTTAAACAAGCAGCTGTTTTTTATATGCAATAAAGTTATATAAAAATGTAACAGTGCAAATGCAAATTCCTTGCTGACAGTTTAACCAAAAGGCATTTCCAGTGGAAACTGGCCGACATATCCTCAGCATAACCATGTATAATATCCACAAAACTTAAAAAGAGGTTATACACACACAATACGGTAATATTATGTTGAAGCACAGTACGTATCACTCCGCGGTACAGCGGTGCGGCTTCATAGCTCAGCAAAGTCGTACTGAAACCTTTGACAGATTTTCGAGCGCCGTGTACATAAAATCGTTTCAAGGTCAGTAAACGCAACCAGAGTTCATACATAAGGCACACGGGATTATAAGGGGCACTGTTTGATTTTAAGTGTGCCGTATTTTCCAAACAACACGGTAACAACGACGGCCCGCTAGCATGCTCTACCAAAAATAGTGCTTTGTTGTGTATCTGACGGACGAAAACTAAACCAGTTCCACACCAGTGAAGCTGCAGCATTTTTACAAACCAGTTCTGGTTCATCGTTTCATTCAATGATCCGCTTTCGCTCTTCTCATTCTGCGTTGCCGCCATGTGCGTATGTAAACAAAGGCACTGCGCATGCGCGTTTTACACATATTCTATCGCGATATTTCATTTTCCTATCGTTGCCCAAAATTACACCGTATTACCGTGAACGGTATGAGATAGCCCAGCCCCAGTCCAGAGTATTTTTTGTGAGGTTGAAGCTCAGCCCGCTCTGGCTTCTTGTCGTGTCCTTTGTGATGACGGGACATGATTTTGTGTCACGTTCCTGATTCAGCGTGGAACCCAAACTGAAACACGCACTTTTTAAATGAATGTATATAGAAACATATTTATGCACAGCTATTGATTCACCATAATATCCACCATGTCTCGTTGTGTTTTTATAGCAGAATCTGTGATTTTGTTTCGTTTCTGTTGTTCATCAGTTAAAAATCATCTAGTTATTGAACTTAAAAAACGTCTTTCCCGTGATGTCTGGTCGCTGCCGCTCTCTCCCCGTGTGATCGCTAGCTAAGCTTACAGAGGTCTCCGCTGCAAGGGCCTGCCTCCACCCAAAAGCTTTAACAGACTCTGGTGTATATGAAGCATACGATGGATAAGAAAACCATGTTTGCGTCTAAAGATTCAGTGGTGATTGTGTTACTGAGGTCAGTGTTTGCTGATTTACAACAAGAAATAAAGGCCTGTTTAATCTGTGCAGCAGAGGAAAGAATAAAAATAACAGAGAAACGATTCCCCTATCAGCAAACTGGCAATACACATGCACACAGATGATGGTGCTTTTCTGATATTTTCATTGGTGCCTGCTCTGTTAAGTAACTGGTCAGTAACCAGTATTAAACTTAACGGTCTGAATTAGGGCTGCCACGATTAGTCAACTTGTCAAGATTACATCGACGATCAAAATCGTCGACACCTCGTTTGAAGCTTTGTAAGATCCCAGAAGACGCAGGAATAAGCAGACGTCTATTACCCACCAGCCCGATAGCTAGCCGAGAGGTCCGAGCCTCGAAAACAGTGTATTCCCCGCACATCGTTTTCAGACCCCCGCGGTCTTTCGCTACTCAGGTTAAACATGATATATAAACAGTGTAGGGACTAATGCGTTACAGTAACTACGTTATTATTGTGGTAATGAGCACGGTAACTAGTTATTATGCCAAAATCAGTAAAGCATTTATTGTTACTGGGATTTAGATGGGGTCGTTACTCGTTACTACTTGCGTTGCGTTCGACTGACCTCGGAAATCGGAACACGGTCCTGGGAATGATGTCACACTCGACTAAATAGCGTTTTGGTTAGCGCCAGGGCGACACCCTCAAACATGGTTGTTTTGCTAACCTTCTACAAAAACAAATTACTACTAAACACACATGCAGCTCATCTGCAGTCTAGAATCTAGCTAGAATCATGGCGTCAGTCGACGACGGTCCAGTTGTTTGTTTTATGATCCACTGCTTCTTCCTAGTGATAGATTAGATTAGATTTATAACACTGCTGCATCAACCCCAAAATGACGTGTTTGCATTTGTTGAAACAATAGAAATAGATTAAAACAGACAGGAAAAAAAAAGTGACACATAAAACAAACATCGTTAATTTCTAATTTAGTTTCATTAATTTCATCATTAACTTGCACTCACACTGCCATTAGGTGGCACAGTGCAGTGTGGCAGGATAGTGCTAACATGTAAGCAAGGTAGAACACTGGCATCCTTGCTGGAAGCAACACATTAATAAGAGAATTCTACGGTGGCCCTGAGAGGCCAAACGGACCGCAACTTCAGAAAACACTTGCAAAAAGAAAAATGCTGCAAAAAGAAAAACGCTGCAAAAAGCACACACAACACAACGGAAATGTTTCTGGGGAGACAATAACCGGACGGACCAGTTGCACGAACCAAAAAATGCTAACAAGTGCACTGGGACTGGGAGACACTTCAA